TTCAATAGCCCAGATTGAATTTAGGGCGATTGAATGGTCACGATTGTATTTTGTATTTGAATTTTAGCTTTTTTTTTCTACGCACCTAATAAAAATATTAAACAAATTATTCTCAAAAACTAAATTGGCCAAAATCCCCTTGAAAGTTTTAGGGGTATTTTGGTCTATTTGATTTTTATGAATTAGTTTTTTGATATTTTTATTAGATTCGCCAAATTTTTAAGAATAAACGTTTCAAATTTTAAGTGACATGGATTAGTAGAAAAAATTTAAACTTAAATGTGAAATGCAATTGTGACCATTAGATCAATCTATATTCAATATGAACTATTGGGCGTTTACTTTAGATGTCAGCTAGCGGGTTGACCTCAGGCTCTCCTATATATATGAAAGACACTACAAAACGCCTATAGGTGAAGTTCTACACTATTTCACCTACACCTCATCATTATCCAAAGTTCATTACACGGTCATTGTTGTCTGATAGTATTTGAATTTTTATAATTATTTTACTGTTAAGATTTATCTAATATTTGGGGCGTGTACATATGACCAAGTCACACCAAAATAAAATATTAAAAAAATAGTAGTCACAAAATAAAATGATGAAATTACCCCTGAAACTTTATAGGGTATTTTACGTAATTTTTATAATTCAAATTATTTGTTTTATATTTATTCATATGCATCCTACTAAGGTGCACACACCTACAAAATTTCAGATCATTATGAGTTGTAAAAAAAAATATTAAAATTCAAACATTAACATCTGTGACGGTGTGATAAACTTTGAATGGTGATAAAGGTGTCGAACTTCACGTATAGACGTTTTGTAGTGTTTTCATATATATATATATATATATGGAAAAAGCTGGGATTAGCCCACTAGCTTATATGAACATATGAGCCCAACGGCCTAGATTGAATCTAGGTTGATCTGACGATCACGGATGTCCAGTAGTGTTTGAATTTTAATTTTTTTCTACAAATCCAAATTACTTGAAATTTTAGGTGTGTTCATAAAAAATAGTTGAATCTTCGAAAAATATCAAAAAAATATTTTATATGAAATAAATTGATCAAAATACCCCCATAAAGTTTCGGAGGTATTTTTGTTTTTTTTTTTGCAAATAATTTTTTTTAATATTTTTATTAGGTGCGTCTTGATGAGAAGAAGATACGCCTAAATTTTCAAGTGATTTGGATTTGTAGAAAAAAAATTAAAATTCAAACATGAAATGAGGTCGTGACTGTTAGATCCGTCCAGATTCAATCTGGGCCATTTGGCTCATATGTTCATATGAGTTAGTGGGCTAATCCCAGCTTTTTCCTATATATATATGTATAATAGGTGCAGTTTGTATAGAGTTGAGGTTCTAAACAATCAAAGTAAAGTTCACCTTCAAATAGTGTCGAGAATGTGGTTTCAATACTGGAAATCTTTGTGATAGCCTTAAAATATATTTTCATCTCTAATTATAAAATTTAAAGTTTAAAAAGTAGTGTAGATTGAACAAATCTTGAAAACTTGAAAACTTGAAATCTTGAAAATTGACTGTCCAAAAATGCATTACAAGATGCACTATTTCCAAACTTGAAATCCATTTTTTTCTCATGTCCATGCATCTTGAGGTGGCGATGATCAATTTGAGGATATTTGGGCATCAAAACAACCTCTTCTAGTGAAAATTTTGAGGTGCGCCCTGATTTGATTGTTTAGATCCGCGCACTTATATAAACTTTTTCCATATATAAAAGGTCATCAACCAATCTTATATTGTTGAAATAGCGTGCACCTCAAAAATCCAATTAAAGGTTGTTTTGACATTGAAAAACCTTCCAATTGATCATCTTGACCTTGATACGTATGGAAATTAGTAATAAAAAATGAATTTCAAGTCCTAAAATAATGCATCTTGTATATATTATTTGGACCGTCCATTTTCAAGAAATTTAATTGTTTATAGATTTGCTCGATTTGCACCATTTTTAAAGCTTTAAGTTTTATAATTAGCGGTGAAATATATTTTTAGGCCATTGTAAGGGTTTCTAACAAGAGAACTGCATCTTTTAGCTAGATTTAGAGTGTGCCTTACTTTAAGGTTGACACCTTATATGAATTGCACATGTGTATATATTTATATATATATTGAGTCAACCGACTCATCTATCATCTATTCATATGAGTTCTCCTTCCGAAGTCCATCTTAGAGATTGATTTTGGATTAAAAAATTTTAGGGGTTGACAAACTATACATACCATGGAGAACATGAATACCCAAATTTATTTTTTCAAAAATAAAAAATAATAGTTTTTGATGTATATTTCAAGACCATTGTTTTAAAAAGTTTGGTGGGAGCACCACCTTTTAACGTTCATCTTTAAGATGGATGCTAGTTACGTCAAGGGATGCACATGTAGGAGCGTGTCTCCCGACTTATGCTACACTTTTCCATATATATATATATACCCACTTTTAGTAATAATGTTTCTGCTTTTTTCTAGGACAATGGTCACCTTCAGAGGATGAGCATGTTGCAAGCATCTTCAATGGGTTGGCATGGAGCACCTGGGGTCCCTAGCAGCCCAATTATTAAGAAAGTCGTGCGACTTGATGTTCCTGTTGATAAGTATCCCACTGTATGTTTATAATTCTTTATTTTGTTATTTCCTCTTTTTGATAATTTAATCTTGATGGTTTAAGGTTCTAGGATTATTTTGACAGTTATTCTTGTCTATAATTTTCTCAGTTTCTAAACAACTCCTATATTCTTGTTTGAACTCTTCAGTATAACTTTGTGGGTCGGCTCCTTGGGCCACGGGGAAACTCTTTGAAAAGAGTTGAAGCTACTACGCAGTGTAGGGTGTACATAAGAGGACGAGGATCGGTGAAGGATTCTGTTAAGGTACTGGCTATTCCTTGTCTTTGTTATGCAGCATTTGGAGTTGAAAAATGTGATGGCATATTTTTCGAAATTTTTTGTCCAAAATTATTCATTATTCTGTTTCTTTTCTGTATTTTTGCCAAATCCATCATTTATTGTTAAATTTATGTAATATGATTTTTTTTTTTTTGGGTGAATCACGATTTTATTTTTCTTCCAATACAATAGTTGTTCTCCTTTGTTTCTCCAGAGGGAAGGAGGGGAAGGGAGGGAGGAAAAGGGGGGTTTGGGTGGGGGTGTGGCAGGGGCGGGCGTTGTAGTGGGGTAGTGTGTGTTTTGGGCTTGGGGAAGTGAGTGAGGGAGGGAAGTGGGGAGGGAGGGTTGACAGGGCAGGTTATTATGGTTGGGTTTTTCCCTGTGAGAGCCTCCTCTAATTTGTTCAGGGGTTGATTTCCTGCAACCAATTTGAAGTTAACCAGCATCAGCAGAAGAAATTTGGCCCCTTTATACAAAGGGGAAAAAAAAAAATCTAAAGCACAATATGTGGCTTTTTATAACAAAATTGAGCTACTTATTTCTGAATCTGATATCAGTTTACTTATTCTTGTGTTCATACTTTTAGTTGATTCAGTAGAGAAAATCTCATTTAGTTTCTTAAATTTAGTTTCCTTGATGTCAATTGTCAATTCTGTTCTTGTGTAGGAAGAAAAACTCAGAGATAAACCAGGATACGAACACCTAAATGAGCAACTACATGTGCTTGTGGAGGCTGAATTACCTGCCAACATAATTGATGCACGAATGAATGAGGCCGTTGGGATTTTGGAAGACCTTCTAAAACCAGTGGTATCTCCTCTCTCTTTCTCTCTCTCTCTCTCTCTGTGCCTGAACACGACTGTCACTCAATGCATTGGAGGATTATCAGTATGCTAACTTCACGACTTGTGAAGTCTATTTTCCAATGTATCATTCCTCAGGATGCTTGCAAACATTGCTGTGTTGGAATGCTTTCATAGGACTGTACATCCTTCCCAGTGCTCTCTCTCTCTCTCTCTCCCTCTCTCTCATACACACAGAACACACACAACCCACTCCACGAGTATATTTTAAGAAACCTATGATTTTTTGTAAGTGCCTTCATTCTTATTGTACGGTTACATCTATCAGCAAAGAGCATTTTTCCCATTCTATACGTGTATGTCATCTATAGGAAGCCTTTGTTCCCCGTTCTCCACGTTTATATGATATGTGAGGATCCTTACATTTTACTCTATCCCCTTCTCTTTATTCTTTATGTGTATTTTTTTCCTGAAGGCAAAGCCTGTGTGATAAAGCCTATCTTTGCATTCTCCATTTCTATGTGATCTATAAGGATCTCTCTCTCTCATGGTAATGGCACTTTGATTGTTATTGGTTTTTTCAATCTCAGGATGAATCTTTAGATTACTACAAGAAACAACAGCTTAGGGAGTTAGCTCTCCTTAATGGAACTCTAAGGGAGGAGAGCCCCCGCATGAGCCCAAGCCTCTCCCCTTTCAACACCACAGGGATGAAGCGTGCAAAGACCGGTCGATAGCCAGTACACCATTTGATACCAGTACGTAATAATCCCGACCACTTTCTTATCAAAAATATCAGGAAGTTGATTCCAATCTGATAAACTCGCCATAAAGAAAATGCAATTGATATTATAAAGGAAAAAGAAAATGGATGTCCCGAAATCTTGATGATGGGACGTGAACTTTCTGTGGGGCATGGTGGGTGGGGAGGGATGATTAGCTTGTACCCTGCGTAGTTTGGGTTGGTTATAGAAGCAATAGTTGGGTGTACTTGTTAAGTATCTCATTAATTTTTTTTTTCTTCTTATTATTTAGTCATTTTAGGGTTTTGTTGTTATTTATTATTAATTCATTTTGTAATCTTGTCCTGAATTTCTTGTTCCTGTAGTGATTGGATTTTCTATTTTTGTGGAACTCGTTCTCTTTCATTATTTGGGGTCTCTTTTGTATGAATTATAATATCCTTGTTTACCTGTCTCAGGCAGTTTGACGCTAGAAAGAAAGTTGATTAATGGGTTGCTTAAACAATATGATGGAGATCTTAGCATTTACAGAATACCATTAAGATCTTATTCAACATAGCCCCATACCAGAAAAATAAACAAATCTATTAGGATTACGGATATTACGGATATCGGGCAACGTAAGAGGGCTACAAATGTTATGTTCGGCTTCTCATTGGTAGTTGGTGTTCAAGAGCTCAAACCTTGAGATCATTAGAGTCAATCTGGGCAAGTTAATTTTTATGAGCCAAGACTATTTTGTTGAAAATCAATACATTCCCAAGTAATATTGGTTTTTTAGATTTTTGATAGGGACCTTGTTGATCATCATCAGCTTTTCTTCAGGGGTTCGGCTAGACAAATCTTGTATGCTATTTTGCTCTATCAAGGGCCATATCTTTAGTAAGGCTATAAATCCTTATTTCTTTTCTCACTATTTTCAATCGTGCTTTTTTTGATTTATTTTTTGCTCTTTTTGAGCTTTCTACCACTTATTAACATGTTTTATATTGGGTATGCGTTGTACATATCCAGCCCACTTAAGTTTAAGTCTACTTTTTGTCATCTTATCGTCTATTGGAGTTACATCTAAATTCTCCCTTATGTATTGAATTCTATCCTCCTTTGTTGTCTGCAATTTATCAATCTCAACATCATTGACTGTCTAATATGTTGCCCCATAAAGCAATGTGGGTTTTACAATTATCATATAGAATTTTTCTTTCAACTTTATTATTATTTGGCGATCACATAAAATTATAGTAGTATATCTTTACGTCGTTTATCTAGCTCTAATTATATATGTGATATCTTTTTCATTGTTTCAATTTTCTTGGATTCTCCCTTTCAACTTTATTATTATTCAGTGATCATATAAAATTTTAGTTACACATCTCTATTTCGCTCAAGGAACTCTATCAAAAGGAAAAAAAATTATATAAGTTTGACAAATTAACATATAGAATTAAGGTGCCCCTCTAAAATCGTCCAAAAAAGGTCGTTTTGATGTTGGAAAATTATCTAATTGATCATCTCGACAATGAGATGTAAAGATATGAAGGAGAAAAAAAAAAGAGTTCGTCGTACAAATAACATCTTACATTATTTGGACCGTCCATTTTCATTATTTTCATGCGTTTTTAGATTTGCTTGATTTGAACCATTTCTTGCATTTAAAATTTTATAATTAGAGATAAAAATAGATTCTTGCATCATTCTAATAATTTTCAACACCAAAATTGCACTTCGGGATATAGTTTGGTGTACCTTACTTTGATTGTTTAAAGTTGTAACCTTATGCAAACCACACACTAATCAAAATGCATTAAGAAATGAATTATTTTGACATTTTATCTATTTATTTTTGGTGCATTTTTTTTTTATTTTTTTAGTTCAAATTAAAAGATCTCATCAAAATGAACATGAGAGTTGGAATAGTTGAAAACGGATAATAGCAGTAGTGTATTTTGAATAGTTGAAAACGGATAAAAGCAGTAGTGTATTTTGAATAGTTGAAAACGGATAAAAGCAGTAGTGTATTTTGATAATTCTTTCTTTGTTTATTTTATTCTTTATTCCTTAAACTTCAGCTTAGTGTTCAATGTATCAATTTGGGTGAGGGAGATTAGAGGCTGCGATTTTATCCCAAGCTCAAGCAAGATTTTCTCTCTTAGGCTTGGCTTAGCGGTAAATGTATCAATTTGTTGATGATAGAGTTTCAATTTTGTCCCAAGCTAAGGCAAACTAACCGAGCTTCTTTTTCTTTATCTTTACATCGTTTGTTGGTCTTTCCTCAGCCACCTCTCTCTCTCTCTCTCTCTCTCAATATTCACATAACCAGTAGTTGGAAACTGAAATTCCTCATCTCTCACTTTCTCACATACCAAATGGTTTGAAACTCTCTCAATCACACTCTCCTACATTCAACTCGCAAAATTCCTATGTGAGAGAGAGAGAGAGAGAGAGATTTAAGAATGGAACAGTAAATACCTGCACAAATAACCCATTGATTTAAGGATCGAATGGTAAAGACTTCTTTTTTTTTTTGGGTTGGTGGGGGCGGGGGGAACGGTTTAGAGATAGACTTAAGGACCGAACAGTAAACTCCAGAACAATGCCCGTCGATTGAAGAATCAAACGGTAACGACAAAGACAAAAGAACCATTATAAATCTTCCGCCCAAGTGGAAATATATCATTGTCCAAGGACTTTTAGAGTTTGAGATGACACTTGAGATATTTCCACTTAGGGTTTTATGCGTACAACTTATCAAATATTACTTGAGCTGTATATATATAAGAAACCCTTAATTCCGGGAACAATTACATAAAATACTCCATTTTTGAAGGATAAATGGCCTCCACCATATTATCTGCACAAAAGGACATGCAAAATGAGAGAGAGAGAGAGAGAGAGAGAGATTATGTGCATAAAAGGAAAGACAAAATGTGAGGGAGAGCAAATGAGAGAGATTAATTACACAAAAGGAAAGGCAAAATGTGCACAAAAAGAAAGCTATAATGCGTTTGAGAGATGGAGGGAGGGAGACTATCTGAAGGAAAGGCAAAATGAGAGAGAGAGAGAACGTATAAGGCTAAAAATGAAAACCAGGGTGCGAATCCTAAGATCCATATTTTCGAAGCTAAGGGCAAACTTGAATTACAATTCTTCTCCTTCCCGATTAAAAGAAGAACACACTCAAAGAAAAAAATGTTCCAAACTTTCATTGGAGATAATGTAAGGGATTGTCTATAAAGAGACTGTTTTTTTTTGTACATGGATTTCACAATCATTCCCATACATTATATGTCAAAATGGATAGCTTGGGTTAAGTCACGAAGTCTGAGAATTTTTTTTTGGAATTTTGTATTTATTTAATGATACTCTTACAACCACTCATTTTGAAATTTAAGGGATAAAAATGATTGTGACTTTCATATACAAAAAATAAACGATCTCTTTGCAGACAATCCCTAGAGATATAAAAGTACATTAAAAGAAAAATATCAACTCTAACAACACTTTTCTCTCTCTTACCCGAGATGAAGGGCAGTTTGGTCTTGATTACGGTAGTGGTGTGCGCCCTCCATGAGATTCACTTGGTAGTAATTTTGAGAGTCAAAAGTCGGAATTGCATCGAATTCTGGTGCCGGCAACATGTTAGACTGTTGGGTCCTATCTTGCTCGGCTATCTGCATTCAACAAATTCACTGCTTTTATTATCCAGAGCACCAAATAAGAACAGTGCAAAAGGGAACAGAGCTCTTGGGATGGTGGTTAGAATAAGCAGAGCTACAATGTAAGTTTAATGGTTCCATTCACCCGGTCCCAAGTTAACATTCAATAAAAGAAAAAAAAATAGTGTGGAATGATTGTCATTGTAGGGGTAAAATGGTAAACATTGACGTGCGTACTATACGGGCTTGGCACCCTGGCTGGCGTGGTAAAGGATGGCTACAAAATGTGGCCCGAGGGCTGAACCATCATGAGGGGGCCGATCCAGCTTGACCTTCCTTTTCTTGGTTTTTTGTTTATTTTTTTTTCATTTATTTTTGGCCCAGCCCGTCTAGACCTTGGCTACGGGTAGGGCCTCTTTGGCTCGGTCTGGGCTGGGTTAGGTCTAGGCTGGCTCTACATAGACAGCCTAATCCCAGACCAGGTCAGGACGATTACCGGCCCCATATGCAACTTGTGAACTATCAATGTGGAGGTGGATGCAACCTGTGAACAATCAATGTGGTGGTGGATGTGCTACCACACATGGTTTGTGTCTAATTTTTCATGTGTGTGGTTTGTGCATAGTAACACTTTTATAATTATTTTATGATTTTATCATTGGGACTACATGCTATAAGACCATTTATCTTTGTTACAAGGATGTCATATTTATTTCTAGTCATTAGATGTCAAATTGGATGGCTTGGAGTGTGTTCAAAGTTTGAGAAAAAATTGTTTTGAATCTTGAGTCTAGTTAATAACACTCTTACAACCATTCAATTTGACATATGATATATAAAAGTAATTGTGACCTCCTTGTACTAAAAGTAAATGATCTCTTTATATACTTTTACTTTATCAATTGGATACGGTTGGCATGCTGCCAAGCCCGCACATGTAGAAATGCGGACCCTTTAATAAATTTATTTTTAAAATAGAATTCAATTGTAATTTTTAGAAAATATATAATCTTTAACATGAAGATCATGAATATGAAAAAATAAATAAATTTTGAAAACTAGAAATAATAATTCTATTAAAAAAACATTTGGACTGTTAGTTTCAATTGTTTTTAGATGAACCTATTTACATCCATATTGAAGATGGATGCTTTATACCTTTGGACCTCATATTGTACAAGTACGCTCCAGCCCGCATGAAACAATTTTCCTTATGATTATGTGGATTAGTTTTTGTTTTTTCAACTCCTAATGCATGGGGTACAGAAAATGCTGTCACCTGTCCTTTTTGGTCTTTTAGGGTTTTATGCTTTTGTGACGTATTTTTGTATCAACAACTATGGAAACGTTTTTTGAAAGAAAAAAGAGGGGAAGAAAAAAAATACTGCTTCTTTAAGAGTTCAATGCCCCTTGCTCATGTAGAAAACAATGTTTATTAAAAATAAAAAGGAATCAGGTGGGGCCGGGGCACTTGCTGATCGGAGTGTACTCGCCGATTCTTATCGAGTTTGGGAATTGCGGGTCTCAACATTGAACAGGCGGTTCACTACATTAGTTTGGGATAGTCTCGATTGAGGACCCTTGGCAACTCCCCGATTCGGAACTGTCAAGAACTAGGGAATTGAAGGCTTTGGATGATTTTGAGTCGGCTCTTCAATTTCTCAACTATCAATTAAAAGAACAATTGCAAAAACTGACTGTGTAATAATAAATAAATACCCTTTCTTTTTTACAAGAATAATAAATGAATACCTTAGCCCGAAGGTACATGTTATCCTTTTGCAGTTCAGCTTCCTGTTTGCATAGAAAGTATGAGCTTGCAATTTGAGAGAAAGAGAAATAGGGAGAGAGAGGGAGTCTCTTCAGAGACATCCGATAAAATTGGAACGATATAGAGAATATTAGCATGGCCCCTGCGCAAGGATGACATACACAAATCGAGAAATGGTCTAAATTTTTAATGTTAAAAAACAAAAAACAAAGAGAGGGAGAGAGGGAGAGAGATTACCTTGTTTTGCATGTACTCAATTTCTGCGAACAACAACTCGTTCTGAAAAGGTTAGTTAAATACAAGCAAAAATTAGTAATAAAGCATTGACAATTAAGCTCTGTGTCGTGGAATTAAGTCTACCAAATGCATTAACAATTAAGCTGCATATGACTACAACGAGTGGGAAGTTGGAACTTGAGAGTATAAGTGACTACCCAATAGTAATACTTAAGATTCCAAATGGAGATTCACACATTATAAGGACACTCTGAAAACATGAGTTTCCCTATTTCTTGACAATGAATTTTGACCAATGGCTTAAAACAAGAACCCGAGTTGGGATTCGCTAGGGTCCCGGACCGAGTCAAGCTACTCAACTCAGCTGAGTCTGTTGGACCGATCAGCTGTGGCTTACAAAAGTAAGCAAAAGACTTCGGAGGGCCGGTTCGCAAGGTTTTAGTTCTAGGCCTATGTCCAAGTCAGACTCGCTGAGTTTTAAGAGATTATACCTTCTTTGATCTGATTCGGGTGAGCCCTCGCTCCAATCTGCCCTCCAATTGCTTAAGTTCTTTGATAGTCAGAGCACTCAAGCCATCGCCCATGAAGTGCCTATATACATATGGAATAAACTTGATTGAAATTTCATGAAAGAAGATAAGGCAAAATCTGTGCATATATTAATTTGCTTTACCTATTGGCATTTTGGAGGAGTTGTATCTGTTGGCGCAGTTTGGTTGCTTCTTGCTGATAGTACTGCAACCAATACATAATGGGGATAAAAATGCATTTCACACTAAAATGAGAGAGAAAAAACCTTCATTCTATCATAAATCTTAACAAATATATTTGAAGAGGTTGAGAGAGCCAAGCAATGGTTAAACAAAGAGGTTTCATGGAAAAAGGCCATTTCTAACTTGGGAATTGGCCTCTGAAATCGATGTTGCGCTTGAACTGTCAGCAGAAGCCTTCTTGTACCTCTCAATGGTTGTTTTTATGCTGCAAGTCATTAAACACGAAGTTATGCCTTGCAAGCCTGACCATGATCCAAGTTATTACAAGCTAACTATTCGAAAATATATCTACTGCCATGTTTTTTTCTTTAACTGAACGAAAAATGGTTTGACAGCTCCAACAAGAAACAAGTGTGCCAAAGTTGTAAACCAGTAATATATATATTGAATTGTGAATTCTAACAAATTCAACTTTTTGTGTTGGCAACACGAACTAAACGAACTAATTTGGTAAAAGAGCTGAGATTGGAATGAAGGCCGAAGATGCATGCATTTGTGCAAGATTTTAAGATGACGGTGAACCTGTGACAGACAAGGAATTGCACATTCGTGAGACATGAAACAAGAATGAGCATGAAATAAGTCATTCAAAACTAAGTCATTTTCACATGGATCATCAATAAGACGCATAAGCATGAAGCGTTCCTTCAATCCCATGGATCAAGATTACCATAGTGACATGGCCAAACCAAATAGCATGCAAAATATACTTGCAAACCAGTTATTTCTGGTGCCTAAGTCAACGGATTTATATCCATATGTTGTAGAGTTTTAACAAACCATCATTTCTTTTTTATCAAATCCATCAATAACATGGTAGTTCTTTATGTGGATATGGCATCCTTGGTGACAAATCTTGCTGCTTGGTCTTCAAAGACTAAGTCTGTGGGCTTTTCATACACAAATTCGGATTTTAGGTCCATCAGGATGATCTTCGCCCAAATGACCTCTTCTTCTTCCAGAAAAAAGCAACGTCATTTGCATAACTGGCCCACACACTATAAACCATATTTTCACCCAAGTGCTGGTTGATCTCATCAGAATCAGTATGAGCTATATACTTCGGATCAAGCCTAAGAGTAGGAAACTTGTAGTGTTTTATTCCCTTGATGTGTCTTGTGATCTCTTCATGCGCGTGCCAATTCTCTTTCTTAAGGCTGCTATCTACTCTTGTGTTCTAGCAAATAGCACCGAATTGGTCTAATGCATCACAAAGAAGAAAATTTAAGTGTGACACCAATAGGAAATAAGATTAGAGATAATAGATTTAAGTGGGTAGGCCGTGTGTGGCACAGACCCAGTACATCTTTTAGGAAGTACGAGTTCGTTCAAGTAGAAGGCTAAAAAAAGGCAAGGGGTAGGCCCAAAAGGGTATGGTTGGCAATAGTGAGAAAAGATAGGGAGATTTATGGCCTCATTGAGGCTATCACCCGCAATAGAGCAGAATGATGGACCAGGATTCATGTAGCCGACTCTAATTAATTTGGGAAAAAACTTTGACGATGATGATGAAATCCATTCTAAATCTTCTTGTACAAACTTGAGATGCATTTCTCTATGACAAGATCGATAATTTGTTTGTTGTATTCTAGTAATTTGAATAGCTAAGATGTAGGATTCAGTCCCATTCTTTGATCTCAAATGAGTATCAAGCATCAGTACAAGCTCCCAATTTCCTCAGGAAAATGTTCACTGCCACAAATAATGAACCCAGCAAAACAATTGCATCCTGAGTCTAAACTGCCAACTATGAGCTAAATGTTCTAAACAGACATTTTTGTTAAAGTTCCTCCAAGTTATGCTTCTTCATCTACAAGCAGAAATGAAAGAGATTGGCCCAAAACTAATGACTTCGCTTGTATTCTAAAATTAATGGAAAAAAGTAGACGTCTTCTGTAATTCTTTGGACAAACGATCATATGGTCTCCCAGTGGTGCATTCATTTCATTTGGTAAACTTTGGGAGTGTTTTAGGACCGTAAAATATTTGGGATGTCACCTCGTGATTAACCTCAAAAAAAAAACAGAAAAAAAAAAATTCATATGCACCTAAAATGCATGTGAAAAAATAGTGCCTTAATATTGAATATAGATCTTAGTTAGATCTAGTGTTCACAAACTCGCCTGGTCCAACTTAGAACAAGGTGGTCAAACCGGAAAAAGGCACTGGCCGATTGATAGGTTTTGGTTGTTCCAGCTTAGTATTTTTAAAAAAATCTAAAAGAATTCACTAGTTAGATCTGTGTTAAAGAACTCAAAATTCTTTCTTTGAAATTAGTGGTCTACTTATTCTAAAGGGATTCCAAAGTTTGGGATGGAAACAATTCTCCTAAATAAGTCTTTTGCCCAAGAGAATAGATATATGGTATGCTCTCATGGGCGTTCATTATTGCTGGGACTTCAGTATTGTTCACATTAAAAGAATAGATATATAGTATGCTCTCTTTATCAAAATCGAATTGAAAATAGGAAAATTGTTTCTAGTGGGTTGGGTCCAGAGGTATAAAACATCCATCTTAAAAATGGATGCAAATAGGTGGTCAATTTGAAAGCAAGTGTATAACTAACGGTCCAAATGTTTTTTTAATGTAATTATTATTTTTAGTTTTTTATTTATTATTTATTTATTTATTTCATATTCATGATTTCCATGATAAAGATTATATATTCTTTAAAAATTAGGATAAAATTATATTAAAAAATATTTTTATCTCCAAGTCCGCATTTCTACAATATGCGAGCTAGCCGCATAGAAACCGTGTCCTTAAAAAAATAATAAAAAATAGATACAATAGTTTTAAAAATATAAACTACATAAAAAAAAATTCCGACTTCATTGGTTAGCCAACAACACCGGTAAAAACCGACTAATCTGTTAAAAACATTGGTTTTATGTTTTATCGAAGACCAGACTGACCAAAACAATGGTCACTTTTTTGACCCAATAAATACTTAGACTAGCGTGACCCCATCAATACCTAGTTTGGTCACTTATTTGACCCATCAATACCTAGTTCAGTCTGGTCATGATAACTGTACTCGTCCCCTCAGGCTCCATCATTCTCTCCCACAATAGCGTTCCCATCAATAACTTTTCCCCATAACTCCAATTCTATTACCAAGCATCTGATTTTTGTACCTTCATTGCTGTAAACAAAGGTTCATTCTCTCCATATAGATGTTAGAGTTTCGCCTACAGTTAACAGTCAAAAAAAATAAAAAAATATTAGAGTTTCTTACTCTCTTCGATATTATAATAAGGTTCTTCTTTCTCCAAATCCCCTCTCTCTCTAAATCAAATTCTTTCAAAAGAACCGTAATGGCGACTGCAACAGTCGATGGCCTAATTACAGGTATTTGTTACACATACATGAGAAAAAAAAATTGAAACGAATGAAACAAAAGAGTACAGGAGAGAGAAGAGAGAGAGAGACGGGCAAAGGAGGCGGCGGGTTCAGAGAGAGAGGGGCATTCATGCTTAGGAAAACACAGAGGAAATCATAATTTGTTGGTTTTCTTTCCATGTAACCACTGTTCAAGTTAAGTACAAAACTGACACACAAAAATGTGCCCAAAATATGAAATAATCAGAAACGCAGAGTAGACGCTAATAAATTGTTTCTGCCTTTCTGGTTTTGGGTACAATTACAGGCTGCAGTTTGGCAGGAGAGAGAATGAGGGCTATTTTTTCATGTAAGGAACCAGTACTTTGTATCAGGAAGTTGCAGGGATGAGAGAGAGAGGAGACTTTTTCTTGGGTTGTTGAGAGAGAAAGAGACTACCATTAATATTCCTTCTTACTACTTAAGAGAGAGAATATTCGTGGCATTCCTTCTTAGTGTTAAGAAAGAGAAAGTACACTTGGTGATCCTTCGTAGTAATTAGTTTGTTATAAATGTATATTATAATCTCTAAATGAGAGCTTGGACTTGGAGAGGCCAACCCCCAACTGTACCATTTCGAGTTTCGGCTCTCTCTTTCTCTCTCTAGAAATTCAGGGTTCAGATAGGGGGTATCTCATTTCTCGCTCCTAAGGCGAAACAAAAGCAGCACAGAAGAGCAAGCAAGCAACCAACCAGGCAATTGTGGCATTCGTGACTCTCTCTCTCTCTAAATGGAGACCCATTCTCTCTCTACCTCATCTTGGGGTGAGGAGATGCCATCACTTTCTCTCTCTCTCTATACCTCATCTTGGGGTCAGGAGTCAGGAGATGCTATCATTTTCTCTCTTCTCTTTACAGTTAAGAGTGAAGAAGCAGAGAAAGGCTCCAACACACCATCCCTGCTTGCCCATTTTTCAATCACTGGAGTTTCTAAGTGATCAAGAAAGCAAAAGACAAGAAAAGTTTCAAATATATATGATAGAGAGAGGAGAGTTTGCAAAAGGGAAAACAGAACATAAGCCAATGGATAATGGTGTGTGGTTATTCGTAGTCTGCTCTTCTTAATGATCGGCAGTGGAGATTAATCCTTGTAGGTTTCCATTGTGACATTCACCTACACCCTATTGGCAACAAGATGATTTGGTGAATGCCCTGTGTATTGTTTTCGTATACCATGGGATTCATCATCTTGAGTCTTATTTCAATTATTGGAGGTCCGGCTATACAAATTTTGTTTTATCATTATGCTTTATAAGGGCCCGTGTTATCAGTTTCACAATAAGTCATTGTGCTCACTATCTATGTCCGTTTGGATCTTTTCGTGGCCACTTTAGAGCTTTTCACTTAAACCAAATTGCTCCTTGTAACAAGTGGTATTAGGTTCACTTTGCATATTACTAGCACACTTAAATCTACTTTTCCTCATCTTATCACCTATTGGAGTCACCCCTAAATTCTTTTAGATATACTCGATTTAAATTCTATCATTTCTTGTCTTGTCACTCATTCATCTCAACATTTTCATTTTAACTGCTCCTTTTATAGATATGTTGCTTATTAACCATCTAATATTCTACCCCATAAATCATGACAAATCTAACAATTATCCTATGGAATTTTGGTCTGCAATAATTATGTAAAATTTTAGATGCACATTTCCATTTCATCAACCCAGCTCTAATTTTATGGTGACATCCTATTTAATCTCTCCAATCTCCTGGGTTATCGATGTCTTTTAGGTGTTTCTTGACTATTAAATTAACTACTTTCTCATTTATACTCCTATTACCACTAAACTTGCATACCATATATTATGTCTTAGT